TGTGTGCGCGCGCGCACCTGACGCTCAAATACGTATAGTGACTCACTGTTTCTTTCTTTCCCCTCAAGCCGAGACCTGAAGACCTTAGGTTACAAAAGCATTCCTTTCCCAAGGTAACAAGAAAACAGGTTAAAGCCGCCAGGGAGAGCTCAGTCTCGATGTCAGACACGGGTGCTCGGCACTTAGGGCACAAAGCCGACGGGTCTAATCTCAGAGGGCTTTTAGCGCGGGGAGACGCAAAGCCCACGCGGCACTCGGTGCGAGGGGAGAGCGCTACACAGAGGTTGGCCCAGGGAACTCTGAGCGAGGGCTTTGAATAGGGCCCAGGGCCTTGCAACTCCAGATACAGTCTGACCAACAAGCAGCATCTCCTGGAGGTTTGTGAGAAATGCTGACTCTCCGTCTCCAACCCGGACTGACTGAATGTGGATCTGAAGTTTAACGAGATCCCTGGGGAATCACATGCACATGAATACTTGAGAAGAACCGGCCTAGGAGCGTTTCTTAGAGGAAATAAATTCTGAACTGTGTTTTGAAGATGAGTAGGGTTAACCAGGGGGCGTTCCAAGCGGAGAGAAAAACATAAACAAAGGTTCAGCGGCGTGAAGCAGCATCGGGTGTTCTGGGGACTGCGAGGAGCTTGAAACAGTCGATCAGAAGGCAGAGAGCAGCAGAAGAGCAAGGAGGAGGGAGAGGGCAGGCCAGGCAGCCGCCGGAGCTTGCGGGAGGGGCCCTGGGTTAAGGAGCTTTGCTGTCACCTCGGCCGTGATAGAGACACACGATCTGTTCAGATTTGCCTGTTAGATCACCGCAGCCCTGAGAGCCTGAGGTCAAGATGGAGAGGCAGAGAAGTCGTCTAGGACGCTATGACAATAGTTTGGGAGACAGATGATGAGTCTAATTCAGGTAGTGCAGTGGGGTTGGGGAGGAAGGGCAAGTTGAAGGCATTTTAGGAGGTAATAAGCAGATGAAAGGCTTCAGTATGGATTGAGGGCGGGAGGATGGGAGAGCGCTGAGTCTTGGCTGCATGAGTTGCAGGCTTCTGGTTGGAATTAGTAGGTGGTTGCTCATGACGCCACTAACAGAGATGAAAGAATAAAGGAGGATGAGCAGGTTTGAGGAGGGAAATTACGAGTTCAGTTTTCAATATGTTCTGCTCAGGTGACTAGAAAACATGTACAAGGTGGGGGTGGGGGAGAGAAGAAAGCAAAAGGGTGGAGAAGCGGGTGAATCAGTCAGGGTGGAGAAGGAAAACAATGAGGAAGAAGCAATGCCTTGCCCAGATCTGGGGCTACAGTAATGCACATCGTGTATCTGTGAGTCTTCTCTTTCTGTCCTGCTTCCAAAGGCTGCCTTCTTGGAACTTGGTTCCATCAACAAAGAAGAGCAAATGGCTTGATTCATGATTTCCTTTCCTGTGATTAACTCATTATTGACACCAATTGCTCCAGAAAAAAAAATGTTTTTTCTAACCTGGAGTTCAAGCTGCTCCAGGGTTAGAATGACCAAACAGCTATCTTTGCTCACATTGCCTTGTGGGTGAATAACTGCCCACAGTCCCCAACACTATTTCCAAAGTGGCCGTAATACAGAGTAATATGTATGAATGTCTGCCCGTGCTCATTCTTCAAGTTCTCGGTGACCCCGGCCACAAATCTTCCCCGTCTGTTAACCTTTCCAACATGTTTAAAATTTTGCACCTTGAAATTCAGAACTTGTGAACAGCCTGAACTGGATCATACTCACAGTCGTTTCCTATTTAGCAATCTCACGGATTTCTAAACACGTCCCGGACTTCTGCATCCCCACCGCAGCAACGCCATAGATATTTTAATACTTTCTCACCAGTCATCCTCGGCCAATAAAAAGCAAAAGGTTGGCACGTGGTATATTAGTTTGGGCAGGAGGAGGTATTCCAACCAATCCTTTCGCTCTTGCCAGAATCAAACATGGCGGGGCCGCAGCCAGACTTCCAGAGCAGCCCGCCGTCTCCCCGCGACCCAGGCCGGTCTCCGGGGCCCCTTCCCCCACCT